TACAGTGATATGGAAACTTTGATCAGAAAAATGAAAATGAATTGCAACCAAGATTGTAAAGAAACAAAAAAGATAATAACATACACTAGAGCGAATAAAAATGTATAACATCAAGCACACCTCTTACTGGTTGTCAGAAACTGGAGCTACGGGCACAGCCAGCAATGAATGTTACTGAGATTCCACTCCAACTGTAAACACAGCACAGCACACAATTCCTAGTAACACAGCCAGAAGAGGTACTGTCCTGAAAGAGTTCGGAGTAAAGTAACAAACTGTGCCCAAATCACTTGTATTCTTAAGTGCTGCTGAATTTCATTGGGACCTAAAGATTTTTTTACTTTTTAAAGATTTATTTTTATTTTATGAGGGTTTTGTTTGAACATATATGGATGTGCACCAAATGTGTGCCCGGTGCCTGCAGTGGCCAGAAGAGGGTGCCAGATCCCTTGGAACAGGGGTTTCAGATGTGACTGCCATGCCTGTGGGTGCTAAGAACTGAACTTGAGTCCTCTGGGAGGAGCAGCAGGTACTCCTGACCTCAGAGGCATCTCTCCAGTCCCAGATTTTACTTTTAATATGCATCTGTGTTGGGGTATGTCCATGTGGGCACAGTTGCCCACAGAGGCCATGGAGGTGCTGGGAATCAAACACTGATCCTCTGTGCGTGCAGCAATAGCTCTTAACTGCTGAGCCATCGCTCCAGCCCCCCCCCCCCCGAGATTCTTTTACTGGGACACTCTTTATATCAAGAGGCTGATGGTGTTAAACTGAAGCTTGATTCAGTTAGTCATGTCAAACTAGCAAAGAATACAGCTTCTGAGGGCTGGTCTGTTCTTTAAAGGAATTTTCTGCTAAGTTACAAGAGAACTTATGATCTGATATAAATAAAAGTTCTCAATAATATATAAGAATAGCACTTTGGCTCATATTGACCCTTGATGATATTTAGGTCTGGGCTTGCGAAGCAACAATTATGACCTCTGTGTTCTCTGGAAAACTGTCTATATCCTCTACATCCTAGGGATAACTCTTCCATAGAGTGAGCCAACAGCCACTCAGCTTCTTTCTAATGTCTTATCAACCACAGTGCAATTTCCTACCTACCCCACAAAGAAAAAACACCCCTCTAAGATAAATTCCTACCCACAAAGAAAAGAGATCCCTCAAAGATAAATAAATTCCTATCACTTATTTATTACCAGACTATTAATTAGATTGAAAAACGCCTTTACCTAAAATTTGTCTAATAAGAAAATAGTTAAATAAATAGAAGACATCCAAATTATATAGTACTATAAAACGATTTTAAAAATCAAGATTTTGGCTGGACAGCGGTGGCACACACCTTTAATCCCAGCACTCAGGAGGCAGAGGCAGGTGGGTCTCTATGAGTTCGAGGCCAACCTGGTCTACAAGAGCTAGTTCCAGGACAGCTAGGGCTGTTACACAGAGAAACCCTGTTTCAAAAAACAAACAAACATACAAAATCCATATTTCGTACACTAGTGATCTGAAAGACTCACAAACTAAACAGACATATGGAATGCACACCCATAAAAGCATGAATTAAGTGGTAAATTTTTTTTCTTGGATTGTGAGACTGTAATTTTTATTTTGTAAGTATTTCCTAGCCCAGAAGAGGAGAGTAACCTCTAAAGTAATCTATCTGTGGTCCATTAATTACAAGCCAGTGAGTGAGAGTGGTGTCACGTGCCTTTATCTCGGCGCCTGGAAGGCTAAGATGGGAAGACTGATGTGGGGAGGCAGCCTGGGCACACAGTCTCAAAATTTCCAAAGCATGACAAAATGTTACTTCTGCATAATTTAGTGAGTTAACAGACATTCATAAAAACCAATATCAAGCTTTGCTCTTTCTTTCTCTTTCTTTTTCCATGTTAAGAGAGTCTCACACTGTTTCATGTTGGCTAGGAACTTGAGGCAATCCTCTTGTTTCAGCCAATCAAGTGCTCAGATATAGAGGTATCAGCTATCCTGCCTTGCTAGAAAAACTTAATAATACTTTTTGAAAAGAGAGTTGCCATATATCTGTCCTTGGAAACAAATACTAACAAATTAGTTTCCTTGAGTAGGCTGGTAAACATCTGAAACAGTCATAACATAAAACTTTGGACATAATTCAAGTGTGCCCTCAAATCTGATTTGAGAAGAATATTTAGAGAAAAGATGAAATGCACACTGATGTTTCTTGTCTTCTGTGAAGGAGTTGGGAGCAGTCCCGAAACAGGTCTTTGAGGCGGTTGAGAGGGAAGTGTCTGAGACACTAGCTACACAACTGAACCTCTGGGTACCCCCATTTCTTCAACTGGAAAGTAAAAATATCTACCCCATTGCACTGCTGAGATTAGATGAACATGTGTCTGTGTGAGCCTTTGAACACTGCCAGGCATGCAGCGAATAGGACGTAGTACTTATTACACAAGGCATTTGCTGGATGAAACTGAATCATTCGATGGACAGTCCCTGATATGTAGTTAGCACAAAGAAAATGTTAGTGTCACCAACATCATTTAATATAGGCATGTTTAGAGTTTATCTGGACACAGTTATAAAACCTACTCACCTCATCTACAATGACATGAGACACATCAGTCAGAAGACCATCTTCCTGAAGTTTCCTTAGCAAAACTCCTGTTGTACAATACAGTAGCCTGGTAGACTCGCTAGCGCGAGATTCCATCCGGATCTGATAGCCACACAGAGAATTCTGCGGGGAGAACACAGAGCGGCTCTAAGGTTACTGCAGAGAGTGCAGCCCCCGTGCTCGTCTCGGCACACCATGCAACAGTTAGGCGGATTCGCTTATGCAATTATTACCAAGAGTCTCCTTCTAGCTGGACATGGTGGTTCATCCCTCTAGTGCTAGCATTCAGGGGGTTGAGGCAGGAGTACCACTGTGAGTGTAAGGTCAGCCTGGGTTACACAGTGAGTTCCAAGCTGCCTTGGGGCTATAGTATGAAATCTTGCCTCAAAAAGCCAAAAACATGTATTTCTATGATTTTCAGTTGAAGCTGTAAGATTTGTCTTGATAATTTAAAATTTTAAGTTCTACTTAGTGTGCATGAGTGTAGGCTCGTGCAAACTATGGTGTACCCGTGGAGAAGGAGGACAAGTGTTGCTCCTCTTCTGCCACCCTAACAGATCCGGATTCCCCTCAGGTCAGCAGCCTGTGCACTGCCACCTCTACCTTCTGAGACATTGCTCCAACCCCATCATTTGCTCTCTCCTTCTCTGAATAATCTAGCATTTTGTATCTACCCTCCTTTCCTCCTCTGTTCACTGAAAAGGAGGGAACTGCTCAGGGACACATCCACAGGAAAGATTTATGATGTACGCAAGACAGATCTGATTGTGCCTACTCTTTGAATAACATATTTGAATGGTAACATATCTGAGTATTCAGTGACGAGAACTAGGATCCTGTACAGGTTCCCAAGAGCAAAGCAGCGTCAGATCAGCACTGGCAGAGGTGGAGAGGAGAGAACAAGCCTTACCCTTCCTCCAGGTCCATTCTCACAGCCCAGTTCATCACACACCCTGGTGGCTAAACTCACTGCGGAGATTCTTCGGGGCTGGGTACAGACTATGTTACACTTCCTTGCTCCACACTCATTTAGAAGCAAGTCCTCCAACAGGAAATGTGGGACCTGAGTACTTTTGCCACTCCCTGTTTCACCTGCCACGACCACAACCCGGTGCCTCTTCAGAGTTTCCACAATTGAGTCCCGGTGTTTGAACACAGGCAGCTGCTGCCTTTCCTTCAGAAGTCTCTGATATTTGGGTGTGCTTTGCAGCTTCCTGAAGAGGTTCCTGACAGGTTCCAAGTCATCTGCATTTGCTGACTCCAAGGATAGCGCAGAAAGATCCTCATCAGAAACTAAGTTTTCCCAAGATTCCTCGGGGTCTTCAGAGCTCTCTTTTTTATGTTCCAGATGCTGCTGCTGCTGCTGTTGCTGCTTCTGCTGCTGCTGTTTCAACTTACTCAAAAGTCTGGCAATAAAGAGATCGCGTGGTTTATTGGTTTCCATTTTATTTAATTCTTCCTTTTTCTTTTCTTCATCACTCCACTCCAGCCAAACATCTCGGTAAGTAGGAGGGAGTAACTGATGAACAGACTAGAAAGGGAAACAACAGCGATGCTTTACTTTGCTGATTAGGAATCAGAATTCAGTGGAACGCAGGCTAGTCGACTGCATCTTAAAATGTAACGTTATCTGTAAACGTTAAAGTCATTAACATAAGAGACACCTGCATAGGCTATCAAATCATGTCTCTTTTTTGTTTTAAAGATTTATTTTATGCACATGTATATCAGCGTGAGGGTATAGACATTTGTGAGCTGCCATGTGAAACCAGGGCTCTCTTAACCACTGAGCCATCTCTTCAGCCCCCAAGTTGTGTTTCTTGACCTAATGGTTGTGTCTGTGTGGAAGTGAGTTAAGAGCTCTGCTTTCTGTCTCTGCAGAGTGCCTGGAAAATGCTAACTTTTAAAGCTCGGTAAACTACAGAAGGAGTGTTCATTAAATATTCCTGCAGTGTACTATATAATATGTGGATGAAGCACAGAGCATTTTGAACACAAAGCTCCCCATGGGATCTGGCAGTAGTATAGTGCTATAAGTCAAAGTATTTCAAAGGACAACACCAGGGTTGGAGAGATGGCTCAGTGGTTAAAAGTACTGGCTACTTTTTCAGAGGATCCGGGTTCAATTCCCAGAGCCAACATGGTAGCTCACAACTGTCTATAACTCCAGTTCCAGGGAATCTGACACCATCACATAGACAAATGTGCACATAAAATAAATAAAGCATATTTAAAAGGACTTCTCTGCCATCAAAGAACCTCCAACTACCTCTGTGATATCAATAGTCATTTCTACTAAGCATATACAGCCCATGATACTTTACTTTGCAAAATGCAAGAAAGAAGACATGAACTTTGGCACAACTTGGAAAAGACTCCAAGGGGGCTAGTTAGGGGCTAATTTCCTGTGGCTGTTTAAATGAGAATAGCCTCACAGGCTCATGTTTGAATGATTGGTCCCCAGTTAGTGGGGATTATTTGGAAGGATTAGGTGGTGTGGCTTTGTTGGAAGAGTTGTGACCTTATTAGAGGAAGCATGTTACTGGGAGTGGACTTGAGGTCTCAAAAGTTCACACCAGTCTGTGTGTGTCTTTCTCTGCCTGCAGATTGGGACTGAAAGCTCTCAGCTACTGCTCCTGTATGTTTCCTGCCATTATGATCATGGACTAACCCACTGAAACTGTAAGCAAGACCCTAACTGAATGATTTTTTTTAAATTATTTTTTATTATTTGATGTACATTGGTGTTTTGTCTGTGTAAGGATGTCAGATCCCTTATCTGTAGTTACAGATAGTTGTGAGTTGCCATGTGGGTGCTGGGAACTGAACCAGCTCTGGAAGAGCAGCCAGTGCTCTTAACCACCAAACCTCTCCAGCCCCCCAGATGCTTTCTTTTCTAAGAGTTGCCATGGCTGTGGTGTCTCTTTACAGCACTAGAACACTCAGTAAGGCACTTCCCACGAAGACAGAGAAACACTTCTTTATGAAAAGGAAATGCTGGCAATCTAACTTTTGAGATGAGCACTGTGTTCGCTCAGAGAGCGTCTTCCTTCAGCAGCACTTAACCTTTTTCTAAACGCTAAGCACATAGTTAATATAACCTAAAGTTGAAAATGGAACCACTTGCCTGCATTTTTAAGTTGAAAAATTGAGTTTCAAGCTATAATTTTATTGTAGAACGGGCATTTCTTATCCCCAAAACTTGGAACTATAAGTCTGGATTTTAGACTTACTGGTACATATGCCATGGAGTAGACTTGGGCTACACCTGTCTAAACACAAATTCTGTTTGTTTTATATATGCCTTCCAGAGAGTCTGAAAGTAATTTTATGCCATACTTCTAATAATTTCATTCACAAAAGAAAGTTTCTTGGTGAAGAATTTTCTAGTGTCACGTCATGTCTGTGCTGAAAAGGATTTGGGTTTTAGAGTCTTTTAGACTGTGAGTTTTGAATCAGGGACACTCAACTTGCATGGCCATCATTTCATGATTTCTAAAGCATCTAAAGGGACCCACCTGCCCTTTCACCAGACGGTAAAGGGCCAATGTAGCTCCCAGGTGCTGAGCTTGCATGCCATCCTCCGTTAAGATTGTAGGGCAGACGACCAGAACATCGTCCTCAGACTTGACAACCCTTACCCTAAAACAAAGTAAAAAAATAACAATAAAACCTTTAAAAAAATTGATGAGGTCAGATCAAAAAGTCAGAAATTCTTTAACATCAAATTTAAACTTACAACAGTTATGTATTTCCATGGAAGGCTCTGCATCAGATAATGACTTATAAGCAATATGAATAGGAAATAAGGAATTAAGAGTTTCTTAAATGCTTACTTGATTTGTGTTTTGTTTTTGAGATAAGGTCTTATTCTATGGGCCAGACTAGATTTGAAGTCAGTCTGTAGCCCAGGCCAGCCTGGAACTCCTGCCTCAGCCTCCTAAGCGCTGGGATTACAAGCATGAACCACCAAGCCTGACATTTCTAAATGTTTACATAATTTACAAGAAACAAAAAGATTTTCATTTCACAGTTTTCTAAAAGTTCATTCAGTTAACCAGAAAAACATACCTACATTTCCAGTATCTACCTACTGGAACTTTCTCAAAGGAAGGATTTGGACTCTTGGGAAGATTCTTCCTGACCCAATCGATTAGAAACTGTTTGGGAGATTTTCCAGTCCAGCTTCGAGCAGTGTAGTCAAAATTTCTTACATCATGAGGTTCTTTCTTTTTACCTTAAATGGAAGGCAAAGACTTGTTCTTTAAAAATGGTAACAGCAATATAAATTCTCTGTGGAGTGGTCAATGTGCTCTCCCTTTTGGGAACAGCATTTCTGAAGAGAACAGGTGATGGAGGAACAGAGAAAAGTTGTTCTTCTCTCGGTGATGCAATCCTCTTCATGGATTGAACCACAGAACATCCCAAATCTTTTGTTGTTGGTGGTGGTGCTGGTGGTGGTTTTGAGACAGGGTCTCACATGGCCCAGGAAGACCTGAAACTTGCTTTGTAGTCAAGGATGATCTTGAATTCCTGATCCTCTTTGTCTTCTTCCCAAGAAGTGTTGGGATCTGAGGTGTGCACCATCACACCTGGCTGACCTCGAGGACCTTAGGCATGTTCATATTTACTAAACAACAATTGGTAAAATTCTCTCCATGTACTTACTGAAAATAATGTCACATACCATTTCTCTACTTATCAAGGCCATTGCCATCAACACCGCCTTCAGTGGCTTCCTGGCACGTCTAAAATTAAGTACTCATTCTTGATAACTATCCCAAAGGGTTTCTGTGGTCCACCCTTGCCAATATATTATATGCTGTTTTTCCCAAATGCTGTGATTACACTGGCCCTCAGGCAATTCTTTAAATGAACAAAGTATTCCTGGCCAAGTAGCTACCAGCCTTGTGGTTAGAAATCAGTTACCATTTCAAATTCTTAGGTACACTAGTCATATCTTAAGTGCTCAATGTTCATGTTTTGTTATTAACTACCATATCAAATAAGACAAATACAGTACATCTCCACCACAGAAAATCTGTCAAATAGTGACACTCTAAACACACGTTTACCTTAAGATTTTTAACTCTCTATCTCTCTTCTTTACTCTTTGCCATCAAGCTAACACCTGATTATCTGTCAGACTATCAGATTACTCTCATGGCTAATATTACCACCAACAAAGTGGCTCCAGTTCAAATCATACCCTTCTGCTCTACTGTTATACTTTAAATTACATCTGTATGTGTGTGTGTCTCTGTGTGGGTATGTTCACATGAGTACGGACATCCGGAAGAGGATGTCAGATCCCCTGGAGCCAGAGTTACAGCAACCAAAAGTGCGTGCTGGGAGCTGAACTTAGCTCTGCAAAAACAGTATGTGCTCTTAGCTGCTGAGGCATCCCTCCAGCCCTACTCTTTCTATTATTAAAACCCTGTATTCTCCGAAAGCACAAATCATGATTTAAAAATATACAATTTATCCGTGCTCACATTCCACATTGCACAAATAAAAGGAAAGAGATTGGGTTATTTTGCTTATATAACTCCTTTTTGTTGCATAACAATGATTCAATAAATATTACTAAATACGTAAATAATTTTAAAAAGTCTATCATTTAATATAGGAGTGAGCTGTGCTATAATCTGATGAATGCACAGAGAATATGACCAGTGTGTGCAGCAATGCACAGATGGGTATGATCACTCACCTCTTAGGGTCATGGAGGACTTAGCAAGTCAAAGAAACAGTATTGTTTGATTTGTACCTAGGCTCTAGGGGCTAGCAAGCTGAAAAGGAATGGAGCTGTCGAAAACAAATGTAAGGAATGAAGTGGCTAGAGCACTGGGAAAGAGTGGAAAGATACAAGTGAATCAAGATGCGAAAGCTCGAATGCCATGAAAGGCCCTGGGCTTGTCACTGATGCCACTGAAGGTTTTTCACTGGAGAAGCAGGGGACACAGCTCTACTACATAGCACTTGCTTGCATGTGCAAGACCCTGGATTTGATTCCCAAGATTAAAAAAAACAGAAGCAACAAATTAAAAGGTTTAAAATAAGAACTTGTATTTACATAAACTCACATTCACATTTCTCAGAAAAACCATGTCCTAGTTTGCTTTCTGCTGTTAGTATAAAACACTGACTTAAGACAACTTTGGGGCATGCTTGCTGGATCACCTCTGGTTCACACTTAACTAGCCTGCTTACATTGCCAATGACCACCTGCCAGAGAATGGTGCCCCTCACAGTAGACTGGGTCCTTCTATATCAATTATCAATGGAGATAACCCCTCACAGACATGCCCAAAGACCAATCTGATAAAGACTGCTTTTCAGGGACTGGAAAGATAGCTCACTATGGCTAAGGGCATATACCGCTTTTACAGAGGCCGTGAGTTTGGTTCCCAGCACCCATGTGGAGCAGCTCGCAACTGTTTGTAAGTACAGTTCTAGGGCATCCAATATCCTCTTGTGGCCTCCTTGGCACTCATGTACAAACCCGTATACAATACACACACGATTCTAGGCAGTGTCAAGTTGACAATTAAAATCTAGCCGTCAAGTTTGGAGGATGAACTACAGAGAGATGGGTCTTAGCCAGTGTCTTTGTAATGACAAAATGTTACACATGGTCATCATAATTGTTATTACTTTTATAAAACATCTATGAAAGTGTAATTTTACTGTCAGTTTAAGTAGTATGCCAAAATGCAATGTAACAGTCATGTTCCCCTAAGTTTTACCTTTCTCTTCTTCAGTGGCAGCTGCAGATTTTTCAAATAAATTCAAGTTTAGAGCACCTTCACCTTCTGTGGCTGGAGGAGGCTTTTTTCTCTCATTTTGTTGATGTGAAATCTTTATGGTTGGGTTGAATATTGGATGGTCTTCTAAAGTTTCCATTTCTACCAATAAAAAAAAGTTTAGTTTCATATATTTGCTTTTTATGCTTTGTATTTTGCAAATATAGTTTTAAAACAGCATGTCTTCTTTTCTTTTGAAAACTAGTTACTTCCCAGGCAGTGGTGGCAAACGCTTTTCATCCCAGCACTCGGGAGGCAGAGGCACATGGATCTCTGTGAGCTCAAAGCCAGCCTGGTCTATAAGAACTAGTTCCAGGACAGACTCCAAAGGTATGGAGAAACCCTGCCCTTAAAAAAAAAAAAAAAAAAAAAAAAAAGTACTTAATTCCTACTTGGAATCTATGCTAAAAGTTAAGTGCAATTTATTAATTTCTATTGCTGTGGGACAATGGTTCTACCCCGTAAAGATGTGTTTCTTGCGCTTGTTTAATAAACACTGATTGGCCAGTAGCCAGGCAGGAAGTAGTATAGGCAGGGCAACGAGAATTATGGGAAGAGGAAAGTTTCAGTCTGCAGTCATTACCCAGCTACAGAGGAAGCAAGATGTGACTGCCTTGAGGAAAAAGGTACCAAGCCACGTGGCTAGCACAGACAAGAATTACGGGCTAATATAAGTTACAAGAGTTAATAAGAAGCCTGAGCTACTAGACCAATCAGTTTTAATTAATGTGGACCTCTGTGTGTTTCTTTGGGACTGGATGATCAGGTAGGACAGAAACCTCTGTCAACAGAATGGTGCTGGGTCAATATTCCATAATGTATACTAAAAAGAATTAGTAAGTACAATAGATTAAAAAATTACTACCTTCATTGGAAAAAAGTACATATAAGATCACATTTACATTTCTTGAATGGAAATAGCATTTTATAATATATACACACACCCATAGGATCAGCAGACTATGACCTATAGCAAAATCCTCCCACTGTCTATTTCTGTATGCCCTGTGAGCTAGCATAGTGTTTACATTTTACAATGATTATAAAAATAAAAGAGGGGTTGGGGGACAGCTCGGTAGATGAAGGGACCTGAGCTCAGATTCCCAGTGCCCACACAAAAGCCAGTTGTAACAGTGTACATGTGCGACCCTAGAGCTTGGGAGCAGTGCAGGGAGACAGGCGGACCCAGGGGCTTGCTGCTAGTCAGTTTAGAGAAAACAGAGTGCCAACTCTAGTAAGAGAGCATGTCCCCCAAAATAAGGCGGAGCCAGAAAGAGAGAGAGAGAGAGAGAGAGAGAGAGAGAGAGAGG